CGAAACGTCATGAATATGGCTATTAATATGAGGGCAACAGTTCGAATAGTGTAAATAGTTACAAAACCTGTTTCTCACATACAGGCAGATCTTGAAGAAGACCGGAGTGTACAACGGTAAATATGGCAATAAAGACGTGGACAACAGTTCGAATATTGTAAATAATTACAATACCATTTTCTCATATACAGGCAGATCCTGAAGAAGGCCTGAGTGTACAAGGAGAAAAATCGCAATAAAGATGAGGACAATGTAAATAATTACAATCAGTCAGTTATGTGCCATGCGTGATATATACTTTCGATACATGACTGACGAGGCCGATTATTTTTCCCGCAGTAGGTTGTCATTTCTTTCTACGGTAGATCAGTTGCCATCCAAGGCTATAGAACCCGGTCTGTCCTGCTATTTACTCATAGCTGAGCGGAGAAGAGAATTCATACCTTTCCCCAGGGGTATTAGCACGTAAGTGAATATCAGTCAGTTATGTGTCATGCATGATACACGCTTAGGCGATCATGTATCTTTCGATACATGACTGACGAGGCAGATTTTTTCCCGCAGTACGTTGTCATTTGTTTCTACGTTAGACCAGTTCCCATCCAAGGTTAGGGAACCCCGCCTGTCCTGCTATTTACCCATAGCTGGTCAGAGAAGAAGAGGATTCATACCGTTCCCCAGGGGTATTAGCACGTAAGAGAATATCAGTCAGTTATGTGCCATGAGTGATACACGCTTAGGCGATCATGTATCTTTCGATACATAACTGACGAGGCAGATTTTTTTCTCGCAGTAGGATGCCATTTCTTTCTGCAATAGACCAATTCCCATCCAAGGCTATAGAACCTGGTCTGTCCTGCTATTTGCCTATAGCTGGAGAATAATTAGGCAGTCATTCTCATATTTTTGTTCAGTAAAACAATGATTTAATTGGATCATTTTAGTTGATTCACCCCAAAATAAAAAGAACTTAGTGTTACAAAAATTTACACCAAATTCTCCCAGAGCGAGGCTCTTCCATTGCACTCCTGTTGGGTCGACACTTTCTTTCGCACCAAATATGGACGAATCGGGTGCGCGATTACTAAGTGTGGGGTCTACGTTCGCACTTACCCCGATAAACAAGCCCAAAACAGATTTTGTTTTTGTCTTTTTAATTGTAAAAAAAAATCTTGTAAGTACCTCGAATATCATCCGCAATTATGAAACATGAATAATTCCCTGATTTTTGGTTATTTTTCATTTTGAGTGTTGAAGTTGTTGAGTGGCAAGCTAAAAAAAATTTGATTTAAAATTTATAATTTCAATAGAGTGCCAAAAATTCTGAACAAAAAACAAAATTTGATTTAACATTTATAATTTCAACAGAGTGCCAAAAATTCTGAACAAAAAACAAAATTTGATTTAAAATTTATAATTTCTTAATTAGTAACTAATTTAGTAACTTTAAATTATTTGAGGTGAATTAACAGAAAAGATATATTTCATTACCGTATTTGACGGTATATAAGACGCACGGGTGTATAAGACGCACCCCAATTACAGCACGGAAGAATCATGAAAAAATTAGTAATTAGCAAAATTAGTAAAACTATTAGTAAATGGTACAGCATAGACTATATTTATGAGGTAGTATTATTTTGGTTAAGCAAGTCATGATTAGAATTAAAAGAAAAATAATAGGAAAACAAATAACACGAGCCTATAAAAAAACTTTATTATATCCAAAGGTAAGAAAAAAAAATCAAGCAATTATTACAATTGAGCAAAACAGTACAGTTACCATTAAAATTTTATTCATCTTCAAATTCATAAAATTCGTCGTCTTCATTATCAAAACTCTTATACTTATTTCCAATGCTACTGTCATCGTCGCTAAATAATGCGTCATCTTTCGTTCTGCTGCGAGCATTGCTAATGCCACACTTTTTAAAAGATTTCACAACAATTTCTGGTTTAATATTATCCCAAGCTTGCTTCATCCATTCGCAGACTTGTGCAATGCGGGGTCTTTTTATTCCTTCTGTAAGTGTAAGGTGGTAATCAGGCATTGCCATCCACGTGTTCTATTTCTCCTTCATGTTTAAATCTAAGCTAATAGGAGTTGCCAGGTAGCTAATTTCGTCCTGCGAAATTTAAAAATAGATATGGCATATAAGACGCAGGGGAATTTTAAGACATTTTAGTAAAAAGAAACAAAAAAACTGCGCATTATATGCCGTCAAATACGGTAATCTTGATATCTATAATTTTAGTATATGTTTAATACTAGTGTTCACGGAATGCAAATCCCCAAAGCCACTTAAGGTAGGTAGTATTGTATAGAATTGTATGAGCGTAAGAAAATGCAAGAAATGAAGTTCATTTTTTGTATGTTTCCTTTTTTGTTTTTTTTGGAGTAGAGATAATGGTTAATCTTAGACTTGACGATGTCAACATTGGAGCGATTGGTAAATCATTTTGGCGGGAGTCTGTTCCAGAAAGCAACAGTTCTTGGAAAGAAGTTGTCTGAGTGGAACTTAATTCTTTCTATTAAAATACGAATGGAACACTTCAACATGATGTAATGTTTAGCATTCTTGTCTCGCTAAATCAATTACGACTGAGTAGTGAGTTCGATCCTCACTGGGTGCCCCATACTTTCGGCCTTGTGCCACATCTAAGCTGCCCATAGAAAATCATCGAGGTGGTGTAATAGTTAAGCAAGCCTGTCTCGCTAGAACAATTACAACTGAATAGTGAGTTCGATCATCACTGGGTGCCCCCTACTTTCGGCCTTGTGCCACACTCATGCTACTCTTGGAAAATCACTATTAAAATACTAATGGAAAGGGGGGGATTCATACTTGTGTAAGTGGCGTGGTGGGTGTTAGTTGAAAAGGTCAACGCTGGTGGAACTGAGGTATGTAGCTCGTCAGAATATACGCCATGGAAATAACGATAGAGAAGCGAGGTTTCTATATAATATTAGTATCTATATAATATTAGTATCTATATAATATTAGTATCTATCTAATATTAGTATCTATCTAATATTCAATAGATTGACATCATTTTGATGTCTAATAACACAGACAATTCTCGTTCAACAAAATATATAAATATAACCAATTCGACTGGGCGAATTCATCTCCTTCTTCTCTATCTACAAGCTTTTGATAAATCGGGCGTGCCTGTTATAAAAACAACGGGCTGTTTAAATGGCAACCATATTCACCTGACCTTGCGATTTTTTATGGGACTATGTCAAAGGATATACCTAAACACACACACATACACACACACGAGCACACGGTGTCCCAAAACATATGCATCATTTTGTAGTGTAATAACAGCCAAGTCTCGCTCAAATGATCTCAAATTTTAGTAGATGAACTAGTGACATGAAATGAGAGAAGAAACATGGTAGAAACGATGTCTAGAATGAGGAACTCGATGAGAAATTTGGCGGGAAGAAGATTTAAAAAATAAGGTCTTATCATTTTACAATTGAAATGGCTAGATATCACCGCAAGTTCTATGTTTGGCTGATTATTATTTTTTTATATCGAACTTCTCTTTTGTGAAAATCTCTTCCGCCTTCTTGCTTCACAGTCAATTTTGATCTTCAGAAAATTAAGTGCAATGTTTTTTCAGATCAAGTCAAGGTCAATATATCTGTTCTACAATATATTTTATATAAGTAAAATGTAGTACATATAGTTTAGTATATATTAAAATTGACCCAGCTAAATACCTTCTTTGCCTTGTAGTAGTGATAGGTTCGGAATTCATTATGTTATTTTCAATCATATTCACCTGATTTTTTTTATGGGACTATGTGAAAAGACATACCTACACACACACACACACGAGCACACACACACGGGCACACGGTATCCGAAAACTATGCATCATTTTGTAGTGTAATAACAGCCAATTCTCGCTCAATGATTTCCTAAGTGTAGCTTAGATGTGGCACAAGGCCCAGTATATATATATATATATATATATATATATATATATATATATATATATATATATATATGAGAGAAATTTTAGTTCCTGATAGATGATGGAACTAAGGAATGTAGTTCGTCAAAATATACGCCATGGAAATAACGATAGAGAAGCGAGAGTCTTGCGACGTTTCTATATAATATTATTATCTCTGTTATTATCTTGCTTTTCTTCTTCTTCTTCTTCTTCTTCTTCTTCTTCTTCTTCTTCTTCTTCACTACCTCCTCCCCCCTTTTTATTCCACCTAACGACGTTATTTATTTTCGAAAATAATAATATAGCGTTCATCAGTGTTTTATTTTTCTTTTAATAAAGCGTTAAGAGGTCATTTGATAAATATCGCCTGAGGAGACCGTAAGGTTGAAACAAAGTCAGCGGATTCAACTGACCTCCTGATTTATAAAGTTAAAAGCTCTACATGTTATTTTTACTGTTATTTTATTTTTTTCTCACGTGTATGGAGCAATTTTTAATACCACTGTTTCCTGCTCTAATTCAACTCTAACCATTAACCTTTTATGCATTATAATATCATTATCTATATAATATTAGTATCTATCTAATATTCAAGAAAATAATCTACCAGACAATGACATCATTTTTTCGTCTAATAGCCGAGCCAATTCTCGCTCAAATGATCTCGAATTTGAACAAAATGTGTAAAAATTGAATGTTTAATCTTGAATGTTTAATAGTTTGTAATGTAAATTGAATGTTTAATATTTTATTTTGTTCAGAAGAATGACGTTAACTAGAAATGAAAAGGCATTTTGTGTGTTAGAATATGTTCGAACATAGTCAAACAAGAGTGTGCAGCGTGCATTTTCGAGAAAATTCGAGACAAAAAAAAGCACCAACCGGAAACTAGATTTGGACATGGCACAAAGAATTTCAAAGAGGAAGGCTGTTTGTCCACAGCAAATGGATCTGGACGTCCACAATTATAGGAAGATATCGGCAATCAGGTTCGGGAAAACATTTGTACAAAGCCCCAGAAAGTCCGTAAAAGGAGCGTCTATGGAAACCCAGATTCCTCGGACGACACATTCGCATTGGAGTATGCGATGCTACAACGTATTTGGCAGGAGCTGGACTAACGACTCGTCATGTGTCGTGTCACAAGTGGTGAACCTTTGTGAAGCCGGTTACAAAATCTACATTTATTTGAATATCTTGTTCGAATTTTGATAAATAAATCTTTTATGGCTCAGTATGAAGTCTTTTTTTCATTCCGTTTGACTGGGACATGTACTTATTCAGATATTCCCATTTTAAATTATTCCATTTTTGTGGGGGTACACCCTATAGAATATCTATTTAATTTTAGTATAGTATAGTATGATTGGAATCTATCTAATTTTATTATGAATATAAGGTTAGTATATTTAATCTTCTACATCGAGTATCCTTATGGTACGAGCATCTATATAATGTTATATAGACAATCACATTATATATATATATATATATATATATATATATATATATATATATATATATATATATATATATATATATATATATATATATATATGTATATGTGTGTGTGTGTGTGTGTGTGTGTGTGTATATATATATATATATATATATGTGTGTGTGTGTGTATATATATATATATGTGTGTGTGTGTGTATATATATATATATATATATATATATATATATATATATATATATATATATATATATTTAGGATATTACATAGAAAATATGTCAAAATCACTACACAATTACAGTCGGGTTTCGAATAGACATAGAAACCCAACTGCAATTGTGAAGTGATTTTAAGATGTTTTCGATGTAATATACTAAAATAAAAAAAAGCTCTACTTTGTATTGAGCACTCTTTTAAATTAAATATGACGAACACGTTTTCATATATATATATATATACATATATATATATATATATATATATAAAAGGAATAGGATATAGGTGTTTCAACGAGGGAAAAATGTGTATATTAAAAAGAAGAGGGAAACCGCAAAAGTTTTTGGCTCTCTTCTTTTTATATATATATATATATAGGCATCCACACAGAACGATTCGCTTTATCACAGCCCATCAGTGTGACTAGACGTCCGGTTGCCTCGAGCTAGGATCGAAACCTTGGCTGAATTTGCGACAGTCGGAGAACCTTGCGCTAAGCCGTGGGTGTACGGCGGGGATGAAGGTGAATTGTAAGAAGGGAGTATATGTTGATGTTAGCAAAAACGGACATCACGACATTCAAATTACAAATTGGAAACGCCAAAATCAAGCAAGTACAGAAATATATCTGGGAAATGTTTTAGCAGAGAACGGAAAATGCGATATCTAAATTCGAAGATGTATAGGGATAGCGAAAGATGCCTTACAAGATGCAAGCAAAGTATTAAGAAACAGAAAAAAATAATTAGAAACTAGAACAAAGAAAAGAGTACTGAACTGTTACGTAATATCGGTCCTCAATATATATATATATATATATATATATATGCTGTCTAACAGCAAAATTCCCCAATTCTTAGATTAAGCTTTGAACCGTTGTATCTTAGAAATGATTAAAGATATCTTACTGGAATACTGCGAGGTTTTTATAAGACTTTGGACTCGACTTTGAACAACAAGAATTTAGCTCTAAGTTGATCCATATTTCTGTTGTGACCTCCTGATCTAGTTTTCCACTTTACTGTTCCCTTTTTTTACATAGATAGATAGATAGATAGATAGATAGATAGATAGATAGATATGAAGACACAGATAGATAGATAGATAGATAGATAGATAGATAGATAGATAGATAGATATGAAGACATAGATAGATAGATAGATTTGAAAGACGTAGATAGATAGATAGATAGATAGATAGATAGATATGAAAGACGTAAATAAGTAGATATGATAGATATAGATAGATATGAAAAACGTATGATAGATAGATAGATATGACATACGTAAATAAATAGATATGAAAGACATAGATAGATATGAAAAATGCATATAGATAGATATGAAAGACGTAGATAGATAGATATGAAAGACGTAAATAAGTAGATATGATAGATGTAGATAGATATGAAAAACGTATGATAGATAGATATGAAAGACGTAGATAGATAGATAGATAGATAGATAGATAGATAGATAGATAGATAGATATGAAAGACGTAAATAAGTAGATATGATAGATATAGATAGATATGAAAAACGTATGATAGATAGATAGATAGAGAGATAGATAGATATGAAAGACGTAGATAGATAGATAGATAGATAGATATGAAGGACGTAAATAAATAGATATGAAAGACATAGATAGTTAGATATGAAAAATGTATATAGATAGATATGAAAGACGTAGATAGATAGATAGACAGATAGATAGATATGAAAGACATAGATAGATAGATAGACAGATAGATAAACAGATAGATAGATATGAAAGACATAGATAGATAGATAGATAGATAGATAGATAGATAGATATGAAAGACGTAAATGAATCGATATGAAAGACATAGATACAAAAAACGTATATAGATCGATAGAAAAGATATTACGAGACAGAGATAGAGGATGAAATATTTCACTACTTTCAAATATATAGATACCATTTTAATACTCGTTATTGTAGCGCCATCTTTACAGAGGTAAACACACGAAGAAAATTTTAATGAATCTTGATAACACTATAAAATCCACGTGTCTCTTTCTATGTAATTTCAACAAATTCAAAATTAATTCTATTGTATTGGAGATTGGGTTTGGTTGGTACATGGGGCAGATTTAATCACTTGCTTTAATTTTTGTTTCCGCCACTTGATGGCGCCATTGCTAGCCTCATTTTGAATAGACAAATTTTCCGCCATTTTTCTTCAGTTTTTGCATCATATGAGCTGAAAACTGAAATGTTTTGTATGAAATACATGTCTTTATCCTGTTTAGTAACTTTTTCACTATGATGAACGTATGCCTAATTCACATTATAATGTTCAGACAACGATAGTGAAGTGTATTTTCTTATGAAAGGGCAACAAATATTATATGTACTATATTCCAAATAGTCCTGTCATAACTTCTCCTTAAAAACCAATGTACAGAAATGTGTTCTTAGGGTTTGTTAATGTATTCAAAGAGGATCTAACATATATAAGACGATATGAATATACGTGGTGTGATAAAAAAAACTATCGCGATTAGCATTATAAAAAGAAAACTAAAATAAATATTAATACCTGTCTATATTTCTGAGATGAGGTATTATGTATATTGTCCTCATCTTTGTCGGCATATTTATTACAGTGTTTGACATTCCAACCACCTGAAGAAGGCCGGAGCGTACAACAGCCGAAACGTTGTAATAAATATGGAGACAAAGATGAGGACAATAGTCCGAATAATATAAATAAAATATTAATACGCCATTTAATTTCCTTCGAACTAGTCACCTTCTATAGCCACACACATTATCCTACGTCACTTCCATTGATGGACACATTGCTGGAACATCAATTTTTGGGAAAGCGAGTTACTGCCTCGTCGGATTCTCTAGAATTTCCTCGACGTCTTCAAATCTTCAAGTTGGATGTGATTTTTGGAAAGAAGGAAATGACCCAATGGGTGAGATTTTGACAAAAACTGCTGCACAATCCATGGTCATCGACGGAAGGTCTGTGGTGTGATGAGACGACCACACGAGTAGTTTAGCTCTGTTAACATAGTAACAGTCACTTCTTGATCCGACCTAGTAAGCTGAGCCTTGTATTTTATATTCAGATGTTGCGTTTTTATATTTAATATAAGTTTTAATATTTTAAATGCCCTTTAGAGTAGATCTTCTTGTTTTCAACTGCATTACACAAGTTTCTGTAATCATTTGTTTCCTTCCATTTAATATACAACAATAGATCATCCTGGGCATGACGATAAACTACATCCGGCAGCAAGGCTTCTGATTGGATAATTGAAAGTTTTTGAGGAGGGTGGAACTACATCTAAAGTGCTGTTGTTCCCAGATTCGCTCTGACCTGGGGTGGTAGTACCTGTTAGGGTCTCTGCTATGGGCAAACAGTGAACCCTAGAATAAAATCAACAGTACATTTTCACAGTAACATTACCAAGAATCTCTATCTATAAAGGGCAGGATAGTGTGTGTGTGTGTGTGTGTGTGTGTGTGTGTGTGTGTGTGTGTGTGTGTGTGTGTGTGTGTGTGTAACGAATGCATGGCCGCAATTTTCGACGGATTTGCACCAAAATTTACATGCACATGCTCCAAGTTAGCGAGAAAGCCATGGCGAGACTTTGCACTTCCCAACTCCCATCGATAGTGGAAATAATCGATTTTTTCATGCTTCTACGTCAGTTTTCATGTAGTTTGTTGCCATTTTCTACTGGCCAGAGTGAGAGCCTATAGCTGGCTGCCACGAATAGGCAGGAAGATTCTATTGGCCAGCGTGAGAGCCAACAGCTGACTGACATGAATGTTAACTAGCATGCTAGCATGCAAAAAACATCGATAGCTGCATTCGTCACAAGTGGGAAAAATTTAAATCTACATGGCACTTTACTCCAATTGGCTCATTCGCTTGCTTAAACTCAACGTTGATTCTGATTCCGCAGAACTGGTTTGGGTGTGAATAAGTATTTGTTGTTAACATACTTTTTTCATTCGGTTTTTCCAGTTACGAGTCCTTTTTTAAAGCTGATCGTTTTGTGTTCATTTTGTTTAGTTCTTTTTTCGTAACAGATTTAAGGTTTAGTATAGAGCTTAGAAAAAATTCGCAGTGTGAGATAGGCAAGAAGTAAGGCATGTAGCAACATCAGCACGGCAAAGGGCACTCCTTTAAAGGCAAGGAAGGGCAAAAATATTTTAAGTCATGTGATAGCGATTGCTGTATGAGATTTTTGAATCAAGCAGGGGCAACGCCGGGCCATGCTGTTAGTATATATATATATATATATATATATATATATATATATATATATATGATTCGTATATATGAAATAAATTCCAATAACCAACAAATACTATTCTTAAAAGAGTGTTCAATACAGAGTAGAGCAAATATAATTATTTATTCGAAAATTATGACATAAATATGTTATAAAATCACTGAAGAAACACTTCTGGTATCTTATCAAGTGATGAGGTTGAATGTAAAATAAACAGTTTTAAAAGGTTCAAATCAATCAAACATCTCCCGCTAGGGAAAACGCTGTTACATAAGCTGCAATGACCTATCTAAATACAAGTATATGAGAATTGAAAAAAACTTGACAAGGAAATTTGGTTATAATAAGTATTTAATACATTAAAATTAGGGTTAGACTAAAATATAATTCATTCTAACTAATTAATATAAAATTATACTATAAAATTAAAAATTACCAATTGTAAATTAATCTATATTAAGTTTAAAAAATTATAAAATTATTTTAAGAAGAAACTGAAGGAAAAAACATATGCATTTTAAAAAATTATAAAATTATTTAAAGAACAAACTGAAGAAAAAACACCATCACATGATAAGACACCAGAAATGTTGAAACAAAATGGCTATTTTTGTAGTGATTTTATAATTTTCGAATAAATAATTATACGTATATATATATATATATATATATATATATATATATATATATATATATATATATATGTGTGTGTGTGTGTGTGTGTGTGTGTGCATATTTTTTTTTCACCTATTCTTATTGTACATTTTTCTGTTTTAATTTTGAATCTTCTGTGGAAGCCTGAAGAGCGGGAGCGAAACCGGTTGCTCCCCCCCCCGTTGTTGTGGTTTTTTTTTGGTTTTTTTTATTCAATATTGTTTAGTATGTCTTGTAATATTAAATTTTATACTTTTATTTCGATCGTATATATATATATATATATATTCCTATGTTCTCACATTTTTACATTATTTTTGTAAGTTTTTTGAGCTCTCCATCTTCCCCATATTGATTTTAGGACTTTTATTCGAACAGGAGTTTCGTGTTCTTCACGGAGACTGTCGACGTTTTTTTTTTTTTTTTTTACTTTTTTCATTACATTTCTGCTACAAGTTATTTTTCTTAATTAATAAACTAATTAAAACGTATCTAAATAATCCTACCAAAGGTATCACTTTCAAATTGCTGTACCTTGAAGAACGGGCATATTTTCTGTTTCGGAAACAACGAAACGCAACCGATAATATATTATAATGATTAGACGCAGCTTCGGTTTTTCTTGTTTTTTTTTTTTGGTTTTTTGTTTTTTCTCTCAGCAAAATTATTTATTTCCCTCTGCTACATACAGGCACAAGATGAAATTTTAATGTGAAAATCCTTCATCACTACATTCGGAAAATATTGCTTTGGGCCAAGCATTCGGGAGAAACGAGAAATTAAAATTTAAAAAGCGAAAATGATACAGTGAAATAATAATGCAAATCATTACTTTGACAATTTTTCTTCTGTTTCTTTCGTATCTCTTACTGGGAGGAGAAATTTTATATCACACGTCAAAATAACGTTTGAATTAATTGCCCCTCAGGCAAGGCGAATCCAAGGCTGAGAGTATAATGAACTTGTTCTATTTTTTTTACTTCTTCTTCTTCTTCTTCTTCTTCTTCTTCTTCTTCTTCTTCTTCTTCTTCTTCTGTGCCTTTTCTGATTTAATGTTTCTTTTTTCCATTTCTCCTCCCCCTCCTTCTTCTTCTTCGTCTTCTCCTCCCCTTTCTCCATCTTCTTCTTCTTCTTGCATCTTCTTCTTCTTCTTCTTCTTCTTCTTCTTTTTCTTCTTCTTCTTCCCTGCCTTTTCTGATTTAATGTTTCTTTTTTTCCATTTCTCATTTCAGACATTCCACTCCTTCATCTATCTTCATCTCACCTACACTTTAATTCTTGGAACTTCTTCTTCTTCTTCTTCTTCTTCTTCTTCTTCTTCTTCCTCCTCCTCCTCCTGCATCTTGCATCTTCTTCTTCTTCTTCTTCTGTGCCTTTTCTGATTTAATGTTTCTTTTTCCATTTCTCCTCCCCCTCCTTCTTCTTCTTCGTCTTCTCCTCCCCTTTCTCCATCTTCTTCTTCTTCTTCTTCTTCTTCTTTTTCTTCTTCTTCTTCTTCTTCTTCTTCTTCTTCTTCTTCTGTGCCTTTTCTGATTTAATGTTTTTTTTTTTTCATTTCTCATTTTCAGACATTCCACTCCCTTCATCTATCTTCATCTCTCCTACACTTCAATTCTTTTTCTCCATTTTGCCTTGGAACTTCTTCCTCTTCTTCTTCTTCTTCTTCTTCTTCTTCTTCTTCTTCTTCTTCTTCTTCTTCTTTCCCTTCCCTGTATAGGTCTTTATAAGTTTATTTACAACACTTCAATCAATCCTGTCTAATAATTGCTGGTTGAAACTATGATTACAAACCAAATGGGAAAATTGCAAATACAAATTAAAATAGAAAAAATAAAAAAAAAAAGAAGACATATCGCCTAAAAAAACAAACACGTTCAGTTTTTTCAATATTATATCTCTAAAAACCAAGCAAT